CATTTCCCCCATTTATATCTCTCACTAAAATTTCTTTGGGGATAGGTTCAGTACAAGGGATATCTTTCTTGGATTCAATTTCTGTTTTATTTTCAATATTGGGTTTGGGCTTTAGTGAGAGAGGTTGAACCATATTTAATGGTGAGTGTTGTTGGGGCCTGCCCCTTGAACCTGTCGACTTCCGACCCCCGAATTCGACTCTGGGTAGTTTCCCTGTTTTTGAGGTTGGAAATGATTTTGATTTGGGTTCTTGGGGAAATTTTTCCATTTGTTAGGATTTCCTTGGTAGGGTGAACCTTGGGGTCTGGGTCCGTCATTTGTGGGTTTGTTATTTTGGTAGTCAGGTGTGACTGGGTTTTCGTATGAGCCCATATTGGAAAAATTTGCATAGGGGTTTTGGTATGAGTTCTCATATAAATAATGTGCATATGGGGTTTCTGCCAAATTATGGGTAGGCATCTGACAATTTCTTACTAGGGCTCTGATTTCTTGGGTAAGGGATTGGAGATCATCCCGCAAGTTTTGAATGGGTTCTGATTCGCTTATGGCGTGGATTGTTTTATTTCTTTGAGCATCTGCCAGTCTATATGTTTCTAGCCGAATAGCCAAAATTTCGGCTTCGTTTATATCTTTGGGCTTAGCTTCCCTTAACCTTAATCGCATTTCTGGATCGGGTAGGGCATCAATAAATTGGTCAAGTGCCAGAATGCTGATAATGGTTGGGTCAGCCATTGGGTAAGCTTGACGAGTTAGCTTTTTAATAGATTGGGCCAATTCGGGTAAGGATTCATTTGCACCACTAGTTTTGGTTTTGAGTTGGGCACGGTACATTTCAGACCTTTCAATGGAGCCATATCTCCTGTTTAGGATTTTCACGAGGGAGTTAAAATCTCTTCTCTGGATTTCATTCAGTTCACTCAGGAGGGCACGGGCACTACCCGTCAGACTACTGGCTAGATATAGTGATTTTGATTTATAGTCCCACCCATGCAAGTCAACTAAAATTTCAAATTGGGCAAGGTACTCATCAAAGTCCTCTGATCCATCAAATGTTTGGGGTTTTATAGTAACATGGGTTTTGGGTGTAGATTGGAGAGGCATTCCATTTTCATTTCTATTGATTTCAAGTAAGGGGGAATAATGGGTACCCGACATTGTTCTTGGGTGACGTGTATATTCCATTTGCCCATTCATTGGGTCTGTATGAATATGGGGTTGGAAATCATCATAAGAGTGGACTGGGTGAATGGGTCTGGATATTGAGACACTGGGTGTGTGATAATTGTCTCCCCTGTCATAGGTTGGGTTTTCAAATTTTCTTTCTAAATGATTAACATGATCTCTCAATTCATGATATTCATGTCTCATACCCAACAATTGTTGGTTAACACTTTGTACCATAGACACTAACATGTCCAATTGATTGTTCTTTGCAGGCGGTACTGAATCTGATACCATTGGGGAAGATTGGAGACTGGGAGCAGGTAAATTATGATCCCGATTATCTTCCACAGCATTGGACGAGGATGGGCGTGATTTGAAAGTGACTTCTGAATCCAAACTTTCTTCAGTTTCCATTGTAATTATTGGGTACAAAAATTGATTGGGTCAATAAAAATATACAAAAATTTAAAAATTCTTTTGTCTTTATAATAGAAAAATTTTGGTAAACAGAAATAAGCAAATGGATATCCCACTTCTGACACCAAATTCTAACGTGACCCGATCTTGGGTGTTACAAAAATTATGTGGGTCCTCTTATTCCTGAGATTTACCTCTATTAATCAACAAGATTTGTTTATCTATAAAAATGAATTTATTCAAACAATAACAATAATGATTTATGATTTATAAAATACAAACAGAGTATACTTATGGATAATGGGACAGGATATATAATAGTCAGCTGATTGGGTTCCACAATATCAACAATGGGACAATCTGTTCAGCTGATTATGGTTGGGTCAGGATATATATTAAATAGTCAGCTGATTGGGTTCCTCAATATCAACAATGGGACAATCTGTTCAGCTGATTATGGTTGGGTCAGGATAAATATAATAGTCATGCAGCTGATTGGGTTCCTCAATATCAACAATGGGACAATCTGTTCAGCTGATTATGGTTGGGTCAGGATATATAATAATTGGGTAGATTGGGTTACCCAATATTGGATAAACTTACCCAATGTGAGGGCCTCAGTTTTACCCAATGATGGGGAGTTGGGACTCTGAGTTGGTCAGATGTTAAAGGGGCTGACCAACCCCCCAGACTGAAGAAAAATCTAAAGTGCCTTCTTTATATACCTTTTGGTATTCCGGTGCGAATTAGTTCACGCGCGAATAACAAGCGGTACCGCCAGTATTCGCGCGACGTTTGTATGGCAACACTCATAACTTTCGCATCAAGTAAAGGCTTTAGCATTACAAATGCGGGAAAAGGGATGATTTGTTGTTTGGGAATTGTTTTGGTAACGATGCCAAGTTGGATTTGGGTACCTTGATTGAATAACAATGCCAGGCGGCCATTTGCTATTACGATTGGGCTAATTGATGGAGGAAATTCGGGTTTGTACAATAAAACCAAACGATATTCATGAAATAAACATAGACAATGAATTATAAAGCATACATTAATAACATACGATGATTGATAATATTCCCATGATATCTACAAATAAAATTACGATACGTAGATTAAATATTCAGGGCATAAATTGGGGTGATCCAATCTGTGGGTTATTTTGGTCATGGGGAAAATCCGTAACACTTAAATTAAATATTCAAAATAGTGTTGGTCACCACCTGTGATCAGCATATATTTTTGCAAAAGTTAATACACGAATAAAGATATTATTTCTGGCGCAATTTTCCTGATATCGATTTCAATGACGCATGATTGAGAAAGAGTGAAATTTTATTAAATTATTTAAAGTCTCCTCACTGGAAATAGTGAGATATTAATACCTATCGATGGGAATAAAATATATTGAAAACGATGAATATATTTCAGTTAAATATGCTGCTTGTAGATAACATGCGTATATAGTGCCCGTCGGTTGTGGTATTCAACAACAGTACAAAAATATGATATACCTAGATTCATTCCAGAGAAGTAGCACACTAATATTATCTTATTTAATACAAGAGGAATAAAAAAATGTCATGTCCCAGTTTATGTATTATATTCTCTTCTACATTTCTTCCTTAATATACAGTGTACAAGTGCGACCTCCGAACTCCAATTAATGTTCTTGATTGAAGAACTGTATGTATTGTTCGATAGGGTTAAAAAAGACATTGTTGCCACACGTAAATTTGTTTATTCCTTCTTTTAAAATTCAAATTTGTATTTAACAGGTAGTCCATTGATAGTTTTTCCTTTTATATAAGAGTGCATTGGTAAAAGAATGATGATTAGAAGACATGCCTTGTCTTTGATTTATGACATATTCTAAACATGATAAAATTATTTTATAAAGATTGAGTTTATATTTGATTATTAACATATTTATACTTATTTTGTGTAGATTAACTCATGGTAATTAACTGAGTGTTTTTGAAAAAAAGAATATGTTTGACAACTCTCTCTCTCTCTCTCTCTCTCTCTCTCGGAAACAAATCTTGTTTGAATATATTTTTGGCAATATTATTCGATATCTTGGTTTATATTTAGGCAAATTTTGTTTCTCCCTTTATATTTGTATGTTTTTTTTTTAAATATTTTCTTTACAATCAATCGATGTACATTGTTACATACTTTAAGTGCATTACAATTAGATTTGTACCCTACTTTTGATTTTTTCCTTTGAATAGTCCAGTCTGGGGTTAAACATTGTACACTGAGGGTCGAGAAGAGGCTTCTCTGATAATTCATCATGCCTAGATTAAGACCCCGGACAGTTCTGTCACCATATATCAATGCCCCAAAAGTTTTTTTTTCATTTACTTGCTTCTGATGATTAGCGCATTAAGGTTTTTCAGACATGATAGGCCATATTAAAGCTAACAAGCTTTAATGAGGTCCTGCTCTAAAGTGTCCAAATCAAGCCCGATAAGATGTAAAAAGTTTAAACCGAAGTCAGCATCTTCACCATTAAAATATCAATAGTCTGGTCGAAGTTTTTTTCAAAGGGTTAGGACGAAAACACAAATCGTTAAAACTTTACGGCTAGACATATTTCGATTAGTAATAATGATTTGCAAAGCAAATGTAAATTATAAAGAAAGATTTGAATTATTACATAAAGAATAAAACTAAAATAAGGAATCATATAAATATAAAAAAAACTCTAGCGCACCAGTTTTTCAAACAATGTCTGATTTGCTCCATAAAAAAGCATAAACAATTTATATAAAAAAATGTATGAATGGATTTAATTCATCTACTTTTTGGGATGAAGTTTTAATTCAGTCTAAAGATAAAGAGCATTGTCAAATTATTTCAAATTGAATATAATATACAATAATTAAATGTTGGCCGAGGTCAAAAGAACACCATGAACTGTTCTCTGCACATTCAGGCCTATAATAATTGTTTTATTATTATATAATTTTACTGTCCGTTTCTAGTGTTAACAATTGTATATAACATAAGGTTTCTGTGCCACTATGAATTCAAATGAATTGTAAATTAATACATAGAATGCCTTTTTTGTGCCAGCACCTACTACGACATGGGACCGCGGTATATACGGTCTCATCCAATCCACGGTGTATCTCACTGACCAAAATATCCTTCCATAAAATTTTTATATATTTTTAAAGTAATGTACAAAGATAATATAAAATAATTGTTTACCATGTCTGTGTAATGTTACTTATAAATTAGAAATTTGGATCGGTTATTACGAAATACATTACCAGTTGTGTTGACCGACAAAATAGATAAAAAAATATTTAACTTGTTATATCTCTTATAAAACTACAAAATTCATTTGATAAGATAAATTAAAAATATTAACAAATGTCAATTAATCTAGAAATATATACCTGATTTACCTTTTTCAGATGGTGTTACGAAGTAAGTATTTTCAATGATGAGTCCAGAATGTGCTAGATATAGTATTTTTTCCGATGTCTTAACAAAAGAGATCGATTTGATGTTTTCCCAAAACCGCGCGTAAATATGTCTCCCCGTTTTCAATAGACGACACTGCTTTCTGTCAATTGCGCGCGCAGTAGTTGAGGAAGACGACAGCTTTTTCTAGATCCACAGCTGACGAAAGTTAGATAATACATGAAAACACTGAGGCGCATCTCGATTTTTCTCTCTGTCTTTCGTTTGTAATAAATTTATTGATTTGATAATGATTTACTAAAAAGCTTGTATCAGAACACGACATTTACAAATAAATAATTAAAAGTGTAAGACTTCAAACAATGTACACTGAAAACAAACTATTAAAGGGGTCTTTAGCTGATGCATGAAAAAAAAACACAATTTGAAATGTATGCCCAGTTTTATTATTATTTTAGGATAATGGAAATGAACACTGACGGAGTTTTCTTTTTGGCTTTGAAATATACGAAAGAATGTGGTTCTATCCCACATTTTAATATAAAAAATTAAATTAAATTTATTTTATCAACTATACGTGTACATTTTATGCATGAGTTAAACACAAAAAGTTACATAATTTCGAGGACCGATCGAAAATTACGCGGACTTGTTGCACAGAAAAAATATTTGACGACATAATCGGGCAAAATGTCACACATAATGTAAAATAATCTTTACTTATATGGTCTTCAATTTTTCATTTCAAAGTGTTGTAAATCGGAATCAATTTGGAGTGATTTATCAGGCAATATCATTAAGTCACAGATCATCAAAATCTTCGTCGTCACAGGCATTATAAAACTATATGTGATTGAGCTTTCATTTCCTCAACATTTTCCAAAGAGTTAACAAGCAAAGAATATTCTTTTTTGTTTAAACTGCAGGTATTTATGAGATATATTATTATATTGGTGCCTATAATCCACGTTCTTTACAGTCCGGATAAAGTTTTTGTCGATAATCTTCTCCCAGGTATAGCCTTTTTACAGAGCTCTAGCGATCTAAAATTTCAATTTGCTATTTGTGGACGAATGTCAAGAATACCCTGGTTTACTACATGTTTTATTATGCATATCTTGGATCAATGTTGGCGATATCTCAAGCAATGCACATAATTTTCGCCGTGCTCCGTCCCTCTCCATCAGTGATATAAACATACCAATAATTTTCGTAGAATTTTTTTTTAAAATACAGAAATTTGCCCAGAATTTATTTGAATCTTAAAGATACTTATTTCTGTGAAATTTTATAACTATATGACGTTTGTAGGTGTTAATAATAGCACAGTCCACGTAATTTTTGAACGGCCCTCGTATAAAAGTACGTGATGTAAATCATATCTGACTAAATGAAAACCCCGAAAGAACAAAAAGATAACTCAACTAAACCAAACTGAACAACATCAATTTGGGCGCTTATCTATTCTTTTTACAACAATTTTCCACGGATGTAAAAAAAAAATACATATACTCATTTTTTCGCATCGTTGATGCCTTTTTTCAATAAATGTGGTATCTGTAATTATACTTACCTCTGTACTGGTCATTTGCAAAGATACTTCAATCAAAAGATTCTTATCGAAAATTATGTCATTATTGTTTTTGCGATAAAAAAAACAATGGAATACCCAAGAGTACTAATTTTGAATTTACATTGTTCGTGGGAGACCGATGTTCGTAAATTTTACAGGAAACCCTGACCCCAAAAATACATCATCATGAACGTATATACAAACACTTATTTTATTATTTATTGAAAGTCATGATTAGACAGACAATCATATATGGGCTTATTTAAGCGGGGTGCTAATTTGAGCTTATTTTAATTTTTGGCAATTTTAGCTCGCTAAAATGTAAATCGTAAAAATAATCAATATGTTTCTGAGTGTTCCTTTGCAAGGTGTTGAAACCATGTCTCAGCTTATATAAAAAATTGTTGGTATATATTTGACGTAGCAAATTGCCAAAGTTCTCACCCGCAAAGAAAACCCTCTATACTTAAAAATGAAGTATCAAAGACAGAGAAAACTATAAACAACGGATAATCAAGTGATGAATATATCAGTAATAACAAACTGTTAAGTAGTGTTTTCATTACATTCGAACACACTCAGTTCTCTCTATTATGAGGTCATTCTAGTGCGATTTTGGAGAGGGTTGTAATAAGCCAATTCACATGGATTGTTTTCAGGGTACCTTGTAAAACCATAGGTTTTTATAAGATTCTAAAAGCTCTTTTGTTGTATTGTTTGCTTACATTTTAATGTGGATGTTTGTTATTATTGTTTGCAGTTGGGTGTAAAGTTTTGCGTTTTTATTAATTAATCCCATGGGGTTTTTTATCTAAAGGTTTTATGTAGATAGTATTACTTATATAAGGAACATTTGAATAAATTTTGAAGATCCATTGCTGCTTTTAAATGCTTCTAAAGTTACGTAGTATGTATATTGCAGAGTTCGAACATTCTAAGTAATGTTTTGACCCAACTCAAACTCAAACTGGCGTTTCTTGTCCTTTTTTAAGAGAAATCCAACATAAACTTATTTAAAATTGTAACTTCAAGAAATAAAAAAAAACAAATAGAAATAAATTCAAACTGTTAAATATAAAAGAACTTAACGCTTAGAATTAGAGCGCAGCATAGTTACGTCTAAAAAGGAGGCGAAACCTAATTTGCATGGGAAAACTTAACTATGACATCATACAAAAATACGTCATAAGACAATTCTTTAAAATACCACAAAATCTTCACTTGTAAGAAATCATCAAACTACATAAAAACTTCCTCGTTGTCGTTAGTTAAATCCCACATAACAAGTTAAAACAAGTCACTGATCGCAATCCACTTGCCAATGTGACGTCATTTCGGAAAACGTGACGTAGTTTGTATGCGGTGAGAAGCAGGTCAAGTAACATTTATGACGAAACATGTAATCTGTAATTAAATAAATTATTATTTATAGAAATTCAATAGGTCATTAACTCGGTGAACCTTAACTTTACTGCCACGTTATACGAGTTGTCTCTCTCGCATTTCTTCGAAAATCAAAGACTCTAGATTTCAATGCAACAGTAAGATTTTTATTGATTTATGTCGCAACTTTGATAAATTTTCTTCTATCTTTGATGATTTCATTTAGTTCTTAATATGATATATACGAGTTGTCCTTCTTTAATGTTATTTTTTACTAAATTAATTGTGTTTTATTTTTGGTGGCATGTTTAACATCCCCCATGAGGAATGTTCATGCATATGGGGACACCAACATTTAACGCTGGAAAGCTGCAAATTCTGTCTTATTCTCGCAAATTATGGACTTTGAAAATACAGCATTTACTGTGACACAGGACCTCGGTTTCTACGACCTCATTTCAGGGATCGTCCCGCCAAAAGAAGCCTGTCGTTTGTCGTCTGTTAACCCTCTGGCTGCAACGTCAGTGTACAGAAATTATAACGTCACTGCGAGATTAAAACGACGTCACAATTTCTTTGACATTATTTTGCGGGCTTTTCAATATTTCGGGTTAACGCTAAGTGCGCGTCTTTTACTGGAATGTGTACAGGGGAATTAATTCATATGCGATATCAACAAAACTATAAAGAAGTTTTTTTTTTATTTATACACTTTGCGTAAATTCTAATTATTACATTAAGATTTTTTAACAGTAAACCTGAATAAATAAGAATAAAGATACTTACATCGCTTCTAAATGCAGCTATAGCAAGTGTATAATCCACAAATTTGATTTTAACTTCTTTTTACTTGCCCCTTGCATTTTCAGTCTATCACCACCTGTTAGCAAGTGAATCTGACAACTCACTCCACCGTTTGGTGTTTTAATTGCCGCGCGTCTCTCCAAGCTTTAGCGAACGCCTAACTTTTGTTTCAATATAATTATAAAGCTGTGTCATTTTGATTTATGTATAGTAGGATTCATTCACATCCTGTTCCTGAGAACTCATTCAGACTTCCCCAAATTCTCATGAATACAACGCTCATGAGAAAAGCATAATTTTTTAAAGGGTTTTATTTTAAATAAATAAGCATCCATGCGCACAATTCCTAAATTATAATAAAACACTCTTTGGTGCTCTGATCACTTAAGTTCAAAGTCAATATAAGGAAAATATCAGATCTGAATAAAAACAGTCATCCAATTAAAAGCATGGACATAGAATGTCCTATTAATTATTTCAGAATGTGCACCTAAATTAAAACTTAGAACCAACGTTGTCCCAACTTAAAGCTCAGCAGTTAAATTTGACACCATCACTTAGTTGGCTGTATAATAATTGGGCCAGCGTTGGTCCAAAATAAGTATCACACTCTGAAACACCTAACAAAAGAACACTCGTGTTAACATCAGGCCAACGTTGGGCCAACATACTACTACCAACTTGATAAGACATTTTTGAGGGTTTATTACAAACATTGGGCCAACGCTGCGTCAACATACTACTACTAGCTTGATAAGACACTTTCTTTGAAGGTGTATTACAAACATTGGGCCAATGTTGGACAACATACTACTATAAACTCGATAAGACACTTTCTTTAAGGGTGTATTACAAACATTGGGCCAACGTTGGGCCAACATACTACTACCAACTTTAAAAGACACTTTGTTAAGGGTGTATTACAAACATTGGACCAATGTTGGGCAAACATCAACATTCCTCCTTCCTTGGAAAGAAAAGTAAATGGAAGTTGCTAACGTTGGACCAACATAGGAATTCTGTCAAGGTCAAAAAGGTTTGCATGGTAACATTGGTCCAACATTGGCCCAACGTTGTTCCCCCAAATGTCAAAAATACAACCTTTTGCCAAAGTTGGCCCAACAAAGTCATGCTATCTGGGATATATGTTTCAAATTTAATTTCAGGTTTAATCCTTCCAAGTATATATTCCCATTATTTATTTATATTTTTCTGAAGGAATGCAAAAATCAGAAATGATAGGGAAAATATTAAAACTTTCTTGAAATACTAAGTGACTCTTTACCTTCGGCATGTTCGATGAAACGAATTTCCACACTTCCACTGTGTCGAATGATTTTGATTGACAGGACAAGCACGTGGACT